GCAGATCAGCGAGGGATCAGCGAGGGAATGTGTTTTTTGTCACTTCCCTCGCTGATCCCTCGCTGATCTGCGAGGGAAATATTCCCTCGCTGATAGTCGTCGCTGATACCTGGTTTTCTAGTAGTGAATCCATTGGTACTTTTGTCTATTTCCGAATGATTACCGAAGGATTACCGAAGGATTTTATATTTATCGAAAAAATTTCCCTTCGTGGGCTGTCCGTCACTGTTCCTTCTGTAATCTCCGTCGGAAATTATCGGTTAGTAATTTTCGTCGGTGATGGTCTACTTCTAGTAGTTCCTCCGTCCTAGTAATTTTTCAAACAATTGATCGTCCAATCGTAATTTTAGTTTTGCGTAACATATTTGGTCTGAAGTACAAGCAACTCAGCTAAGGTACAAGACGTGAATGCATGAACAATTTACAAAATAGAAATGAAATATGTAGGTATTAAGTTCTAACGAAATTCGAGGTATTATAAAGAAAAGAGGTTCCACCGTATATTAAAAAAAAACTAGTCTAAGTACCCGATATGAGATTTTGATGTGTTTTTTTTTTTTGTGATACATGCATCTTTTAAATAAAATGCTTCCACATTAGATTACTATTGCTTCTTTCTTATCATTGCAACTATATTTTAATCTCTTTTATTGAAATATATGGTAATTAATGAATTGGTAAATTGTTAAATATTTAATTAATTTATATATGTGTACGTAATATAATTTCAAAATTAAACTACAAGGGTAGTGCGTTTGAGATTGGTTCCAAAGATCAAAAGTAGCAGAAGATCTCAAGTTCAAATTTAAGAAGAAATAAAAATCCTCTTGTGACCATAGAGGTTCAAATGCGGTGACTCCAGACTATCTGCAAAGCTTTACAGGTGGTCGCCTTAAGATTAATCGGCTCAAATAACGGGTTAAAATGTTAGATATCCAAGTTAATAAAAAAAATAATTTCAGAATTAAGTGGATACACGAAAATGGAGACGAGTTTAGGTTGGAGAAACGGTTGGATGATCACATGCAGCACCTCACTCACTATCACTTATCAACATTCACAAGAAAACTGCTTCAACCCTTCCCAACTTTCTTTAATTTATACAGGAAATCAAATTAATTAATTATATGAAAATCCCATCACAAATCCCAATTATGGCTCACCAAGATGAACATGATCGAGGAACCAAAAGATTTCACTACCCACTCGACCCAAACAGCTACCAAATCCTCGATCAAATCGGCAGAGGATGCAGTGCCATAGTCTATAAAGCCCTATGCACCACCACCTCCGCCATTGTTGCTATCAAATCCATCGACCTCGATCGAACAACCACCGATGATTTCGATAATGTCCGCCGTGAAGCGAAAACAATGTCCCTTCTATCTCACCCTAATGTTTTGAAAGCTCACTGCTCCTTCACCGTCGGCCGCCGTCTCTGGGTTGTGATGCCTTTCATGTCAGCAGGCTCTCTTCAGTCCATCATGGCTTCCTCTTTCCCTAATGGCATTTCTGAGCCTTGTATCTCAATAATACTCAAAGAAGCTCTAATGGGTCTTTGTTATCTTCATGATCAAGGCCATCTTCATAGAGACATCAAGGCTGGGAACATTTTAATGGACTCAAGTGGGTCAATTAAGCTAGCGGATTTTGGTGTTTCAGCATCCGTTTACGAATCGAGCTCTCGTTATCTTATGCTTAACGAAATCACTGGAACGCCTTACTGGATGGCACCTGAAGTTATACATTCATACAACGGCTATAGCTACAAAGCTGATATATGGTCATTTGGGATCACTGCACTTGAATTAGCACACGGGAGGCCTCCACTTTCGCACCTTCCGTTCTCCGAATCTTTGGTAATGAAGATCACCAAAGGCTTACGGTTTTCTGACTACCAGAAAGACGAAGAAAAAGGTCATAAGAACCCAAAGTTTTCAAAGTATTTCAAGGACATGGTGGGACTGTGCTTGGATCAAGATCCCTTGAGGCGGCCGACAGCGGAAAAGCTATTGAAGCATTATTTCTTCAAGAACTGTAAAGGGTGCGATTTTCTGGTGAAGAATGTTCTTCGTGGATTGCCTTCGGTGGAACTAAGATTCAATGAAGCTAAGCTTCTTCAAAGGGTTGGATCAATGAGTAAATTAGGTCAACATGAAATGGAAGAAGATGAGAATGAAGAAGAGTTTTTGATTGGGAGTAACATGACGAAACACAGAAGGATTAGTGGATGGAACTTCAATGTGGATGCTTGTGAGCTGGATCCTGTGTTTCCTCTTGTAGATACAAGTCCTCAAGATGATTTTGTGAAACAAATTCCATCTGGGGGTGAAACCATGATTTCGGAAAAGATGGAGGAGTTGGATGTAAATAAAGCAAGTTCACCAAGTGTTGATGGTGATGGAGAGGTTGATAAAGGTGGTGGTGTTGATAGGGAAGTTGTGGTGGGAAGTTTGATGGCATTGAAGAAAAGTTTGGATGATCAAAGAGAGAAGGTGGTGTACATGCTTGCAATGGCAGGAGCTGAAGAAACAGCTGTAGGAGATGGTGAAGCTGAAAATGGCAACAGAGAAGAGCAGTTAATGCAAGTGATTCAGAAGCTAAGATCTGATTTGGAGAATGAGAAGAGAAAGAGGACAAGCATGGAAATGGAGTTGGAGGTTTTCAAGTTGCACATCACAAATACCTAAGGTTTTACACCTCCTTAAACACGGAAAATCGTGTGAGAACAAGAGTTAAAAGTAAAAAACATAACAAGGGGATCAAGTTAATCTCAAACCCACTCATGTATCGTGTTTGATATGGGGATTGATCTAGTACATCTCATCCTAATGTACATCTAACGGGGAAGATCCTTTCTTATGTTTTTCACTTTAACTGCGATTCTCACCGGAACCCAACCTCATTTAAAAAACAGGCTTTTGCCTTTCTTTTTTAACATTAATTAAGGTTCCTTAATTAATAACTTTTTATTTTATCATAATCATTATTTTTATTTATGTATTTTATTTAAAATAAATAAAAGAAACTCTTGCCAATTAAATTAATTTGTTAACCATAGGTCAAATATGTAAAAAGTACTATAAAAATGTAAACTGCAACCATATATAATTGCAAGTGCAAAAAAAGACGTAAGGTAGGGTAGAAAAACATACTTAAACGTTAGGTTAATTCCCAGATCGATATGGCATCAATTTTTATCATTACAATTCTCAAGGTTTTTACCATCGATGATCTGTCACTAATACTTATTTTCGTCATTAATCTGTCGGTGAATGTCCGTCGATTGAATTTTCTTGGCTAAAGCTATCACGTACGGCTATCAATGGCAGATAGTGAGGGTCGTGATCACTGATGGATTACCGATGTTGTTAAAGATCACTGATGGATTACCAACAGTAAATATTACTGACGAATTATCGAGGTTCAAACCACTGACGGATTACTTAGGATCAAATCATGATGGATTACTGAGGGATTTAATCACTGACGAGTTTTCATCAATGGACTACCGACGGCTATATCCATTGTTGTGAGATTTATATAGTAAAGTAAATCTCTCAACTAAGAGCGAATGGAGAATCGCATAAGTATACACTTGTTAATATATTGTTGTATTAAAAAAGTAATAAAATGGTACCCAAGTACCAATCGACAGAGACTTGGGAAAATCTATACTTTCTGAAGTCAAAACAAAACACAATTCAATGGTGATTTCGAAAAAAAAAATATGTTTTTGAGTAGGTTTTTAATAATTACTACAATGAAATAAATTCTTTAAAATGAGCATAGATATAGGGATTTGTTAAGACTTTTAAACAAATAATTAACTTATCCAAGCATAAACTTGGGTTGTTTGTTTACCTCTTAATAGTTCAATTATGAGGCAGTATTTGAATCGTTAAGAGGTGAATCTTGTTTGACAAAAAGTATGTCTCTTAATGGTTCTAAAATCCTCTGAATGATTTTGCATCTTGGACCTCTCTTAACCATTAAGCGCCTTCATTTCATCGTAAACAATTAGCAAACAATTATATTTCATGTTGCACTATATCATGAGAGCCTCTTAATCATTCTGTACTAAACAATTCAACAACTACTAAACAGACTCGTCACTACTTCTAATACACTACTTCTAATGTCTCAAAAATAGAGTAAAGTCTCTAAAGAGAAAAAACACACATCCATAGACTACTTCTAATGTCTCTAAAATAGAGTAAAGTCAAAGCAATGACACAATCTATCCCTTGGATAAGCTTTATTTAAAAAAAACAACCTTTCCGGTATCAAATTAACTCTCTCAAGTATACATCTACATCATTCAAGTTAACGTGTTCAAGACGACTTAATTCTAAGTTCGCCACAATTTAACATTTTCAATAATGATCAACTTATCAAGAAATGATTTTTATAAGTATAATCTTGAACAAATTGTTAAAAATAATTATTAGTTAACACTTTCTACCATAAAATGGGTTTTTTCTTAACTTTTTCATATATTCGAGTTAAGGTTGTCAGTCCATCATAACTCGGATGCTTACATATTTAAAGTAAAGAAAATAAGCATCTACCACTAAGTACGGCAATTTTATAGGTTGCAAGAAACTAAAATTAAATTATAACGAATTAATTTAAAAATAACTTTTATTCACAAACTTTATAAGATTAAGGGGTAGTACATCAAATATTTATCTGGGTAAGTGTTTAACAAGTTATATTATCTTATCAGATAAATATAGTAAGGATCAAGAATATTATCTAGTAAGAGCGAAACAAGGACCAAGAGTCTTACCCCGTAAATGATGGCGACGACTCTTACCACGGTAAGTGCTTATTGGGTAAATTGTTGCATAAGATGTCATCTTGGTGGACTAAAATCTTACCTAGTAAATAATATGGTAGTGTCAAATTTTACCAAAAACACTTACCGGATAAGTGTTTGGTGAACAATCCCTAAGACTGGATATTAAAAAAAAATACAAGATTAACTTTTAGAACTCCCATCAACTTCTCATTCCCAATTTATAATAAAGTTTTACATCTCGCTATATCATCCTGATATACAAATAGTAACTTTAAAATAGATGATACTTGGCTTTTAATTATGAAAGACTTAATATTTGTAATAACCTATAAGTAGGGTGGGTCTGGTACGATATCAAGTTTGTTTTTTTCAATAACGTGTATCAACCAATTATAACATATGTAAAATCATGTGTTATGTCACAATCAATTGTACTTGATACCAATTTCCTTTTTGTTAATACTACTTTTGTACCAACTTCAAGTTACATTTATGAAAAGTTGTTATTTTGTTCAATTCTTAGTGACATTTAAAGTTTCCAAGTAGCACGTATGAAATGTATTAGTGTTTTTAGTTGTAAGAAATGAAACTTTAAAGCATTCAAATGTTCAAATAAAATAGTTAAAGTTACAATGTTCAATATCTAATATAGCTAGAAATGTAGATCCCATATTAGCAGCAAAACAAGATTGAAATCACACTCTAAAAGATGAAGCAATTATGAACAAAGTGTTTGGAGCAAACATACGTGATTATTATTATTCAAAGCAATCTCACATTATTTGACTCTCATCATAATGAAATCTAAAACCCAAAGACACCTATTTATAGGTGCCAAATACAATGTAAGCCCAAAGCTCAAAGCCCATTATAAAGAAATAAATATTACAATGCAATACAAGACTTTATAAAACTTTCAATATCTTGGGGCTAATCTAGACCCAACAATCGTCTCCTAAAGTTTTATAAAGAAAGCATCTTCTGAAGCATTCAGATGATCTCCCCCTACTTTTTTTGGAAAACTTTAGTATTGCTCGGCTTCAAAAAATACTTCAAGCTCCCCCTTGAATAAAGCTCGTATTCTTCATTTTCAACTTTAAAATAAGATTCAGTGTGCCTTCAACACCATTGATTGCACAAATAAGCAGCTCTGAACTGTAGACAACTCAACACAAGCATGAACCTCAAAATCTCAGCTAACCCATAAGCATATTGATTCATCCAACAACGAGATAGATATTGTGATATGTGACATTCCATAGTGAAAAATCAGTCTAATAACAAAGAATATTTCTTTGAACCTTGAGTTGAATAAACTTTCAGCTTAAGAACTTGTTCTGATAAGCTCACAAAATGGGGTTTCAAAAACATCTTAAATAATCAGAGCAAACACCTTTGGGGAGAGACAACATTAAGAACATGGCTTCTTAATTAGCAACTGTCAACCAAGAAATATAAGCCAATTTCCTTCATGCTTTCAGAAGACTGAATAACCAAAACCAGATTCAAAATTCTCAATCAAACGAATGATTATCAACACTCAAAACTCTAAATCACAACCATACCTCCAAAACAATGGTTGTAATCGTTCAACTTTCTAAATGATCATGTTAGATCAATGATTGAGAACACTCAAAGGTCTATTAACTCCAGAATAATGATTGCAAACCTTCAAAATTCTGATTGATCAGGTCAAAATAGTGATTGAAAGCATTCAATGGTCTGGCCTCTTGCGAAAAAATTTAGAGTAATAATTGCAAATACGTAAACTTCTAACCAGTCCAATTAAATACTGAATCTAATCACCCAGTTCTGAAAACTTTTCAAATCCGGATCTTAACAATATGAGCTTGAAAACTTTGACCAAAAGTCAAATTTTGACTTTAAAAAAATCAATTGTTGACAAAATGCTAATGATGCTTGAGTAGGGTCAAATATCAGATAAAGAACACCAGACAATATTGCACAGGGTTATATTAGGCAAAGACCAAAATACGCACAATGAGGTCATGAATAGTAGCAACTTGTAGAGGTATGCGATAAACTATAGATGAGAATGATATCGCCCATGCCTTAGGCGGATTCCTCAATGAACAGTGTATATCGCCTATGCCTTGGGTGATACACTTGAATTTCAGAATATCACTCAACATTAACAAACATCGCTTGAGGCTTGAGCGATATACTCGAATATCGCTTGATATAAGATATTGCTCAACACTTAAACCACTTGATGCTTGAGTGACATAGGCAAATACTGTTTGATATGAGAATATCGCTCACCATATAATACCACTTAGCAAGGATATCGCTCATTAAGGATATCGCTTCACACTTGGGCGATTTTTATACTTCAATTACCACATGGATATCGCTCAACACTTGGGTGATATATTCAAATATCGTTCATAACTTGAGCGATGTTCTCAAATATCGCTCATGTCTTGGGCAGATTACACAAATATCACTCACTTCTTGGGCGGTATCCTCAAATGTCGCTCAATTAACAAATATCGTCTAAGTCTTAATATCGCTCAAAGTAGTAACAGCTTACCAAATATCAGCAACATCTTTAATAGGCAATATCTTATCACATATCGCTGAATACAACCTTCAAATCTTCAATGGGCGATGTTCTTGATGAATATCGCTCAAAGCAATCTTCATCGAGCAATGTTCATTGATCCAACAGTTCAACACAAATAGTTTGACTAAAAATCATCAAAATCCAAAATTTACTTCAAATTAAGCCCAAATTGATGATCAAAACGTATTCAGAACCATAAAATTATAAATACTTCGGCTCGAATTGGATTAAAATATCCAAAATCACAATGAATTTGATTGAAAAGGCTTAAAACAGTTGAACATGAACAATTGTTCATAAACGAGTACTGTTCCATTCCAAAAACATAATTAAACTTAAATTTTGCTACAAAAGATAATTGTATTGAATAGGATTGATTCAATTTTTCTTTG